CAGTACCTACAGACAGTACCTACAGACAGTACCTACAGACAGTACCTACAGACAGTACCTACAGACAGTTCCTACAGACAGTTCCTACAGACAGTTCCTACAGACAGTACCAACAGACAGTACCTACAGACAGTACCTACAGACAGTACCTACAGACAGTTCCTACAGCCAGTACCTACAGACAGTACCTACAGACAGTACCTACAGACAGTACCTACAGACAGTACCTACAGACAGTACCTACAGCCAGTACCTACAGCCAGTACCTACAGACAGTACCTACAGACAGTTCCTACAGCCAGTACCTACAGCCAGTACCTACAGCCAGTACTTACAGACAGTACCTACAGACAGTACCTACAGCCAGTACCTACAGCCAGTACCTACAGCCAGTACCTACAGACAGTACCTACAGACAGTACCTACAGACAGTACCTACAGACAGTACCTACAGCCAGTACCTACAGCCAGTACCTACAGACAGTACCTACAGACAGTTCCTACAGCCAGTACCTACAGCCAGTACCTACAGCCAGTACCTACAGACAGTACCTACAGACAGTACCTACAGACAGTACCTACAGCCAGTACCTACAGCCAGTACCTACAGACAGTACCTACAGACAGTACCTACAGACAGTACCTACAGCCAGTACCTACAGCCAGTACCTACAGACAGTTCCTACAGACAGTACCAACAGACAGTATCAACAGACAGTACCTACAGACAGTAAGCCCTCCGAGGAGAGCCTTCATGCCGTCGACCCAATAAGGTCCTCATCGGAGGGTTGTCGACATCGGGGCCCGTTATCTTGAGGTTATCTTGAGATGATTTCGGGGCTTTTTAGTGTCCCCGCGGCCCGGTCCTCGACCAGGCCTCCACCCCCAGGAAGCAGCCCGTGACAGCTGACTAACTCCCAGGTACCTATTTACTGCTAGGTAACAGGGGCATTCAGGGTGAAAGAAACTTTGCCCATTTGTTTCTGCCTCGTGCGGGAATCGAACCCGCGCCACAGAATTACGAATCCTGCGCGCTATCCACCAGGCTACGAGGCCCCTGGCCTCGTAGCCGTGACTAAACCTACAGCCTAAGAGGGAGAAGTCTTCGTGGGTCGCTGCTCTGCCACCTACAACACCCTGACCGCTACACAGGTCGTATACGAACGATTCAGTACAGCATTAGAGATTTCCTTATCTGAGACGGCGGCGTCCGCACTGTTTGGCGCGACGCCCCCGGGTTCCCCTTACATGGGTCCATTCACAGCACCGCCCCTCACCTCGCCTCCCTTCTCCCGTGAGTGAGTGAGTACTCACCTAATTGTGCTTGCGGGGGTTGAGCTTTGGCTCTTTGGTCCCGCCTCTCAACTGTCAATCAACTGGTGTACAGATTCCTGAGCCTACTGGGCTCTAAGAGTAACTGAGAGTGAGTGAGAGTGAGAGAGGGAATACCAACACACTAAAGCAGCCAGGCCTCGACAACACCAACACTAAAGCAGCCAGGCCTCGACAACACCAACACACACACTAAAGCAGCCAGGCCTCGACAACACCAACACTAAAGCAGCCAGGCCTCGACAACACCAACACACACACTAAAGCAGCCAGGCCTCGACAACACCAACACACACACTAAAGCAGCCAGGCCTCGACAACACCAACACTAAAGCAGCCAGGCCTCGACAACACCAACACACACACTAAAGCAGCCAGGCCTCGACAACACCAACACACACACTAAAGCAGCCAGGCCTCGATAACACCAACACACACACTAAAGCAGCCAGGCCTCGACAACACCAACACACACTAAAGCAGCCAGGCCTCGACAACACCAACACACACTAAAGCAGCCAGGCCTCGACAACACCAACACACACACTAAAGCAGCCAGGCCTCGACAACACCAACACACACTAAAGCAGCCAGGCCTCGACAACACCAACACACACTAAAGCAGCCAGGCCTCGACAACACCAACACTAAAGCAGCCAGGCCTCGACAACACCAACACACACTAAAGCAGCCAGGCCTCGACAACACCAACACACACACTAAAGCAGCCAGGCCTCGACAACACCAACACTAAAGCAGCCAGGCCTCGACAACACCAACACACACACTAAAGCAGCCAGGCCTCGACAACACCAACACACACACTAAAGCAGCCAGGCCTCGACAACACCAACACACACACTAAAGCAGCCAGGCCTCGACAACACCAACACACACACTAAAGCAGCCAGGCCTCGATAACACCAACACTAAAGCAGCCAGGCCTCGACAACACCAACACATACTAAAGCAGCCAGGCCTCGACAACACCAACACACACACTAAAGCAGCCAGGCCTCGACAACACCAACACACACACTAAAGCAGCCAGGCCTCGACAACACCAACACACACACTAAAGCAGCCAGGCCTCGATAACACCAACACACACACTAAAGCAGCCAGGCCTCGATAACACCAACACTAAAGCAGCCAGGCCTCGATAACACCAACACTAAAGCAGCCAGGCCTCGACAACACCAACACACATACTAAAGCAGCCAGGCCTCGACAACACCAACACACACACTAAAGCAGCCAGGCCTCGACAACACCAACACACACACTAAAGCAGCCAGGCCTCGACAACACCAACACACACTAAAGCAGCCAGGCCTCGACAACACCAACACACACACTAAAGCAGCCAGGCCTCGACAACACCAACACACACACTAAAGCAGCCAGGCCTCGACAACACCAACACTAAAGCAGCCAGGCCTCGACAACACCAACACACACACTAAAGCAGCCAGGCCTCGACAACACCAACACACACACTAAAGCAGCCAGGCCTCGACAACACCAACACACACACTAAAGCAGCCAGGCCTCGACAACACCAACACACACACTAAAGCAGCCAGGCCTCGACAACACCAACACACACACTAAAGCAGCCAGGCCTCGACAACACACACACTAAAGCAGCCAGGCCTCGACAACACCACAACACACACTAAAGCAGCCAGGCCTCGACAACACCAACACACACTAAAGCAGCCAGGCCTCGACAACACCAACACACACACTAAAGCAGCCAGGCCTCGACAACACCAACACACACACTAAAGCAGCCAGGCCTCGACAACACCAACACACACTAAAGCAGCCAGGCCTCGACAACACCAACACACACACTAAAGCAGCCAGGCCTCGACAACACCGACAAACACTAAAGCAGCCAGGCCTCGACAACACCAACACACATACTAAAGCAGCCAGGCCTCGACAACACCAACACACACACTAAAGCAGCAAGGCCTCGACAACACCGACACTAAAGCAGCCAGGCCTCGACAACACCAACACACACTAAAGCAGCCAGGCCTCGACAACACCGACAGACACTAAAGCAGCCAGGCCTCGACAACACCAACACACACACTAAAGCAGCCAGGCCTCGACAACACCAACACACACACTAAAGCAGCCAGGCCTCGATAACACCAACACACACACTAAAGCAGCCAGGCCTCGACAACACCAACACTAAAAGCAGCCAGGCCTCGACAACACCAACACACACACTAAAGCAGCCAGGCCTCGACAACACCAACACACACACTAAAGCAGCCAGGCCTCGACAACAACAACACGCACACTAAAGCAGCCAGGCCTCGACAACACCAACACACACACTAAAGCAGCCAGGCCTCGACAACACCAACACACACACTAAAGCAGCCAGGCCTCGACAACACCAACACTAAAGCAGGCAGGCCTCGACAACACCAACACACACACTAAAGCAGCCAGGCCTCGACAGAATTTTAAATCCTTAATATCTCAAGATAACTTTACAAAATAATTGAAAATCGCGAAATTCTTAATATAAGTCCTATATGATCTTCAATAGTCTACCCGGCTTGGTGCCTTCTTTTCCTATATACATGTTATGTAAATATAAAAATTCAATAAACAACGTCAAATAGAACGCCGAATCTATAGTTCCAGATGGAATGAACCGCTTAAAACAACCTCAGATCAAGAATTATGTTTGAATATGAGTCCCATGAGAGAGCGGTCTTAGTGAAGCCTAAAACCATACAACTTTTGTACAACTATACAAAATAATACAATTTTTGCAGAATCGTTGACAGGATGCAGGTGTCGGGCAGTTTAGCGATAACACATGTGCGCTGTGTTGCAACTCGCAGCAAAATCACCCCTTGTAAGGGAGGCATTGAAATTGAAATTGAAATAAGTTTATTGAGGTAAAACACACACAAAGGGATGAGGTAGCTCAAGCTATTCTCACCCCATTCAGTACAACGTGTTAATATATGCATAGACACACATCACAAATAAACACATTACCAAACATTCTGAGATGTAAACATATACATTTTCTCCTTCACAAAGAGAGGCATGTGCTCGCTAAGTCTTGCGAGCTTCGTATATATACGCATGTTTCCCCCGCTCAATGCTCACTGTGGCTCACATTAACGAGATTTTCATTATTGTTTATGAACCAGTCTGGCTCAGCGAGGACTTGTCAGTGATATCACAAGTCCCTGACACAGTTCACATCATGTTTGCTTCTCTAACACACGTGTTGGTTGTATATGTATACCACATATCAGTGAACCCTCTAACACACGTGTTGGTTGTATACTACATATCAATGAACCTTGTAAGGCAAAAGTCCTTTCTCCAAGTGCTTCCTTAACCCAATCTTGTTAATTTTCCAAAGTGGTGACAACACTAATTTGCAGTTAGGCCGCCAGTTTGCCTTAGTATCGATACGCCTAAGGGCAATATTTGTCATATTGCTACGCCTATTATACTTGACTACCCACATGGTTCTATTAACACACAAACTAATCAAAATAATGCTAATTCATTACAAATTATACCTAACAGGTCACATTAGCAATCTGTACACTGAGTATCATCATGTCCAATGAATTATTTACCATTTGTTCATTAACACATTACTTCCTTACCTTGGCGAAGTAGAATATGGTAGTGAAGAGGAGCACAGAGCGTGGAGCACAGAGCGTGGAGCACAGAGTATGGAGGACACAGTACGGAGCATAGAAGATAATACGAGACAGTAGCGTGTAAGATCGTAGCTGGGAGGCGTTTGGTAGCGTTAGAGATCAGGTAGCTGCCAATTGGAAAACTTTTCGTACGTTCCCACACAATAATATCAATTATTCTTATTATTTCTCGTTGTCATTTTGATTATATTACACAATCATATAAAAGTCATTATATATAAAATAAAAATATGTAAAATTAGTCATATTTAGTTCAGTTATACAAACATATAGTAGGGACATACAACATCGTACTCCCGCCAGCCACAGCCATTCATGTCGACCTTACCAACGATCTGATACATACATTAACCTGATACATATATTAACCAACTAGAAAATGTAAATATTCTCCAGTGCTTTAAACTCTGTATTTTCCTTATGCTATATTTGGACAATTTGTTACTTTTTCATTTCACTCACTCCTTCACTATACACATTAACTATACACTCTCCAGTCATACTCGGGAATCCCGGGTTCGAGTTCAGGGCGGGGGAAGAAATAGTTGGGTTCATTTATCCCGCTCCAATATAGAAGCATCAAGAAATATGGACCAATAGGCTTTCTACAATTACTTCCATTCAATACCCATTGTTTCGTGTTGTCTTGTGTTTGAATTTAATACCCATTTAATACCCATTGTTGGAAGTTCGTTTTCACCTCATCCACCACACTAAAGCAGCCAGGCGGTCCTTCCAACAACCTTCCTCTCGCCTCTGTCATGCATTGACTTTTCCTCCTCTTGTAGCTCCTGTTCCTCTTCATTGTCTCCCACTTTCTGTCCAGTTATCTCGCTTACAGGATTCTCTTTCTGTTCATATTTCTAATGTTTCTCCTCGTATTGTTCCTTCATTACCTCCGTGGAGAGTCCCCCTTCCCAAGTTTTGTACGTCCTTGACTTGTATTACTAAAGCCTTTACCCCTCCTACAATTCTGAAAAGCCTCTTCCTTGAGCACTCCCACTCTATTTCCATCTTCCCTGATGGGTCTAAGTCTGCGGATGGTGTGAGCTACTCTGTTGTTTTTCCTGACCGTAGTTACATGTGTTGCCTCCCTTCGGAGGCTAGCGTCTTTATGGCAGACCTTTATGCTATTCTCTATACTCTTTGTCTCTTGCTTTCTCATTCCTCCTTTGTGGTTGTAGTTGATTCTCGTAGTGCCCTCATGGCTCTAGGGTCCTTTAATCCTGTCCATCCGGTGGTCATTGAGATTCAACATTGGCTGTTTCTTATTTCTAGTAAATTTAAATCAGTAGAGTTTTGCTGGGTTCCCAGCCATATTGGTGTTTCAATGAGCGTGCGGATGCTGCCGCTAAGGAAGCTATCCGTTCCTGTCCCATCTCCCATAAAGGTATTCCTTATTCCGACTTTTATCCTGTTATTCATTCTTCCCCGTTGGCAGGGTTGTTGGTCCTCTGTGGTTGGCAACAAGCTGCGTACTCTCAAACTTAGTGTGTCCCCGTGGCCTTCCACCGTAACCGGCGGTGGGACACTGCTTTGGCACAGCTGTGGGTTGGTCATACCCGCTTAACCCACGGTCACTTAATGGAGCGCCGCCCTGCTCCTTATTGTCCGAATTGTGTTGTCCCTCTTACAGTTGTGCATATCCTTGTTGAATGTCCTAACTTCCAGGATGAGCGTGTGTCTTGCTTTCCGACCGTCCCTCGCGGTCACTTGTCCCTCGATAGAATTCTAGGTGAATCGGATACTTTTGATATTGTTCGCCTTATGCGTTTTTGTTCTCGTATTGGCATTCTTGGTGATATTTAGCGCCCTCTGATTATTTCGCACTTTGATGGTGCTACATGGCCTTCCCGGTTTGGTGCCTTCTTTTGGTAATTACTTTACCTTCATTGTTGTTTCATTTTAATGTGGTAGTTGTGATATTGATTGTTCTGGCTCACGTGCAAGGTCTTGGATTTTTTTCTGTTTTATATTAAGAAATTGCCAGTCTTGTTACTATTTGTAGAGTTAGATCTGCATTAAGGCATCAATATTATATTCTTTATAACATGTTATCAGCAATTTTTGTGGTTGGTAATATTTAGATTAATGTCAGTGATGTATATGTTAACCCTTAAGACCCCTTGTGGTATGACAGCATTTTTCCCAGTCATTTCTTTAACAAATGAAAGGGTCCTCGTAACCGTTTTGTCCTTTCTACCATGTACCTGTTTGTTGCTTCTTGGTCTTTCATTTGGTACTTTGTTTTAATAGCTAATGGCCTTTGTAAATGTTGCAATTACCATTTCTAAAAAAAAAATGAGCAGGTTCATTAGGCAGAGTTTGTTTTTAGCAAACAGTTTGTGTAAAATTCCATTCCTTCAGGACCTTGCAGATGTTAGGTCAAACTAATTGACAGTAATCTGTTTTGCCCTTTCAATGGTGGTTTTAATCTAGGTAAAATATTTCTGAAGAGTTTGGCAGACAAATCATTTAAGAGCTTTGATTAAATAAGTTACCAAAGACTTTGTGAAAACCATGTTGTATAGATGCTTCAGTGTCACTTTTCTAATGTTTTGTAAATTTAACAATGATCTTTAGTTAATTTAATCATAATTTGTACAAAGCTTAGGTGTTGCATAGCTTATTTTTTTAGTTTTCATATTTGAAAGTAAATTTAGACTAAAGTTTTTCACTTTAATATTTCAGACTAATTTGCAATATTTGTTAGTTTATGTAAATTGAATAGGTAGTCCACTTTTACATCTTTTCAATGCATTTTGCATGCACCTATGTAACAAGTTACAAATAGGTGTAAATTTTACCAAGTGTTTATTTTCAAAGTTAAAAAATTTCAGATGTTTAAACATTGCATCAATAGTAGTAAACAATAATTTCCAGCATAATTTCAGGATAAGGTATATAAAGTAGTTTTTTCATTAAAACTTTTATTTAATAAGTTTTACATATAGTATTTATAATACATCTAATATTTATTACCGTTTCAGGTTGTGGGACAGATGCTCCTAGATGAACAGAAGATCCAAAAGGCCAAGACAACTCTAGAGACAATCACCTGTAAAAGAAAAATAAACATTAAACAGGGACACTACTTTTATTATCACCAATGCCTAATAAGAAGCCCCAAAAATCCTAACTTCCTATCTTTTAACATAGGCCTATCCCTTCCTCTGGTTTCAGTGCAGTGCTTGTTCCCTGAATGGGTGCATTACATCCACCACTTTAGTGCCATCAACACATTGTACATATGCTTTGAGAGCACTGTACAATGCATGCCAGGCACTAAAGTTTTAGATGCATCCACCCATTCAGCAAACAAGCCCTGTGAGAATTAACAATGTAACCATTGTTAAGGGTCCCTAAACCTATGCAAATCTAGTCCATCTATTAGATGGGTAGTAGAGCAAAGCTCTGAAAAAGCCAAGCCAGGGATATCTGCAGGACTGCCTGGTCCCCTTTTATGACATGGGGTAGGATCAGTACAAACTGCATCACCCTGTGGGTTGTAACAGTAGGACATGGTTACACACCTATAAATGGACTAGATATGAGAATTAAGATTAGGTCATTGATATAGCTAAAACATCAAATTCAAACTCACCCACTTTTGCAGAGTAAAGGAGCCTCACTCCAAGCCAGTCCATGCATCATAATCACTTACACCTGAAAAATATTTCAACAAATTAAATTCAGATTTAAAGCCAATCTTGCTTTACTTTTCAAATTAGCATTCAGTAGTTTACAAATTCAGATGGAAAAAATTTCTTTAAGTTATTTACCTTTCCTACATATTCTAGTAGCAGTAGTAAAGATCTAATTTAGCAATATAAATATATATGGCATCAATTTGCCAAGTTTCAGTAAATGTCATTTGAGAAACTATCCACAACTGCACTTCAATGGCAATTTACATTTATCTTTAGCCAATGCTATATAGTTTAAGTTATTACTATTTTTTTACTTTTATGCAAATCTATTCAGATTAACCTTTACTACAACCCCCCTGATTCTGTTTAAGGGGGCATATTATAAATTGTTATAAATTAAAAGTTGTTCAATTTGCTTATAAATTTATTAATGAAATGGTTATAGAAAGGGCTGCAACTGGTCCAAGTTTCACCATCACACCGTAAACAGAAAAAAATACACAACGTATTATGCAACGAATGTTCAACATTCTCAAATAATCTCAGGGAACACATGTGTCAACTAAAATGTCTACTATGTGCTGTAGAAGCACAAACTCTTGTAATAATTGTAATATGTATGTGCAATATATTTATGTAAATTTTTTTTTTTTGGCCAATTTTTTTTTCTCATTTGTTATCAAGGGATTTCCATGAAACTTGCACACCTTGCTCAATGGATGCCTATCTGCAAGGGTGCCAATTATGAACGAAATCTGTCGAAGTCAAGCTCAGCTACAGGTGGCCGAACTTGGATCTTTATTTTACTCTGGAAAGTAATTTACACCTTCAAATTACTTCAGAGCTTTCATTTATTAATCAGTTTACATGCAAATTACACCTTATGTAGCATTTGTGCTTCTACAGAATCTAGTAGACATTTTAGTCCAAAGTCTATTTGTTGATTTTATAAAAAATTTATAAATATCTTATATTGCATATTTTTTAGAAGGGTAACTTTGAATAATTATATTATTGCACTAAACACTTTTTTGATAAAACTGATCACTAGAATCCTTTATTATGTGCTTAATTTAATATCCGAGTGTTATAGAAATGATTTTAGTCGACACGTGTTCCCTGAAACCATTTGAAAATTCGTTGCATAATTCGTTTATTTTTTTTTCTCATTTTCTGTTTAGGGTGTGATGAAACTTGGACCAGCTGCAGCCCTTTCTATAACCATTTCATAAAAAAATTTATAAGCAAATTGAACCACTTATTTACAATGATATGCCCCCTTAAGCAATTAACTTCCAACTGACAGAGGGACTTCTGTACTTTCCAAACCACATTCTGGAAAACTATAAATTTAAAACCAAGCTAAAGTAAACATTGAATATTTTTTTTTACTTTCAAGGGAAAAATACCATCACTTATAACAAAACTTTTCC